CAGCTGCCTCCCATTACACTTTCCTTGGCGTTCTTCCCACTTCCCTGTAATCAGAAAAACTCTTTAGTATGAAATCCACATTTTGCCAACTTTCTTTCTAGCAGTGACTTTATTTGGAAATTAAACTTTCCCTTTGGCTCTAAGGCACGGCCAGACACAACTGGACATGGCACACCTGCATCATTGCTTTTCTCTGTGGGGATGGAAAGGGAAATCCATTTCTCGTGGACATGTTTAGAGGAATACCGCTGATGTTAGCGGTGTGGGAGAGCACTGGCCTAGGAGTCAGAGGTCCTGGATCTTATTCTCGACGTTACCTTTCACATAAAATTTTCAGACCTTGGGCAATTTTATCAGTGGACCAAAATCTCAGTTTTTAAATTTATAAAAGGGGATTAATAATAATTAACTTTGTTTACCTGGTATTGAGTGCTTTAAATATGATCAAATATCCATCAATAGAAGTCATTCGTTATTAATTGACATTGGACAGACTATTGATAACTTTCTAACAGTATTCCAATGGTTAATAGAGATTTGTATGATACCAGGAGGAGAGGTAGGAATTTGAGCGGTTGAACAATTCCTCTAATGGTGTAGGTAAGTCAGAGGAAGAGCTGGGGTTAAGCATAAAATTGTGGACCTCCCTCACTGAAGGCTCTCACTTGATCACAGGTCTGCTTCATGCCCGTGTTCTTCTAGCAGACCCTCGTGTCTTAGTCTGCAGTTGACCCATCCTGATCCGACCAAAAGGAAGAGGCTATGTTGAGATTGGCATAGCGTTCTCTACCCCCAGCCAGCCCGCGTGACATCTGTGTGCATCCTGGACAAGACTCTGGGGCTCAAAGCGCTGACTGGTTTATTAGAATGTACCACTTGGGAGCTCAGACCTGGCTGTTCTTTCTCATCTCCCTTCAGTGTGTCATGTGCCGGGGGTGCTGAGTGAGAAGTGAGAGGAACCGCGTGGGCAGGGGACTCAGGAAACACTAAGTGACTCAAATCCAGTGTGTGGTTTTCTCCTTCTGTACCTTCTGGGGACTTCGTGGGGGAGTGAATTAGGGTTAAATTAAATGATAAAACAAAAGGCAATGAGGCTTCACTTCCTTTGGTTTTGAGCTGCAGAGGAAACATGACATGAAATGTAAAAAGCGTAGGTCCCACCTTTAGAGCACATTAGAGTCTGTGAGGGCATCCTTGGTTCCTGGGTAACAAATCCTTACACACTGCCCTGGGGACTGGGTAATGTTATTGTCACTGCTTTTCCAGATGAGGATCCTGGAGCTTACAGACGTGAGGTGACATGCCCAAGGGGACACCATCAGTGAATGGAGTCAGAATTTGAACCTCAGTCCAGAATTTTTCCCCTTAGCAACCTCACGCTCATGTCCATTGGGGAGTTTTACAACACTGGTACCCGATTCTGATTTAGTGATCTGGGGCGGGCCCTGGGCATTGGGGATTTTAGAAGTTCCCCAGGTGATGCAATATCCAGCCCAGATTGAGAACCACTGCTCTATGCTTTCCTCACTTCAGTGACTGGGGACCAGCCACCTCTGACCCAGTGCTTCTCAAACTTGAAGGGACATAAGAAATACCTATGAATATTGTTAAGCATCAGATACTGATTCAGGAGGTCTGGGAGAGCAGGAGTTTCTAAATTTCCAACAAGCTCCGAGATGATCCTAGAATCTGGTCCTAGAATCACGCTTTGAACAGCAAGGTACTCTGGCCAGCAGACCTCCCTAATACCAACCACACAGAGCTCTGAGCGTTCTCGGACCCAGGCTTCCCGGCTGCGCTCAGTTAGCCAGGTGGACTTGCTGCCTCCGTCCCCCACTCCTCCCCTGCCCCACTGCCCTCACTGGGACCAGTTTGATTTGCAACCTGGTCAGTGTGTGTCACTGTGCCTTGAGCTGCGGGGCTCCTTCCCTTGCACTGGGCTTGCTTCCTGCGCCTGCTTCTGGTCCCAGGATACCTGGTGCCTCCTACTTGCCCCATTGGTTGATGTCAGTCCAACCTGATGTGTGACAAAGCAGGAGGGAGCCCACGCTGTGAAGACCAGAAAGCCTGGTGTTTGGGGTCAGAAGGATGAGTCCTGGCCCTGCCACTTCCTGCCCGTGCGGACTGGAGCAAGTTCCCTGACCTCTGTTCGGGGATGGAGATCGCTGCCTTGCAGGTTTACAGTGAGATTACACAAGACGATGTAGGTGAAGTGCCAACATGAGAGCCTGGTGGGCTCTACTAGCAATAATTTATTATTAAGGAGGATGGAATTAAACATTGACTCAGTGTCTGGCGTGTGCATACCCTGTACTCGGTGACTAGTAGACATTGTCTCGTTGGAGACTCAGACAGCCCTGCAGGGTACATGCCATTGTCTCTATTGACGGGCGAGGCCACTGAAGTCAGAAAGGCAGTGACTCAGACAAGGAGGCCCAGCTAGCGAGCTCTAGGGCCGGAACCTGCATCCCGCTTTGTCTGGCTTTGAAGGCTTTCGCAGATCCCTTCTGATGGCTGTGGCTTGTTTGACCAACAGGGGGACTCCATAATCACTTGCTGACTTATCTGTTTGGGGAGAGACAGAGCAGCACCCAGCAGGCTGGCAAGCAGCCTCACTGCTCTCCGTTTGCCCTGCGGACAGGCAGGTGGACAAGAGCTAAGAGATGGAACGGCCGGGTCGGTAAGTGACTTTGCCGGGCAGACAGTGACAGAGACAGCCTGCCTGGTCCCTGCCCTGTAACCCAGGAAGTGCAGGGACTGGAGGAACCATAAGCTTCTATGCCCTCCTCGAGAACAAAGGGCAGGTTTTTTTGCGTGTGCATCTGCGGGGGTGACTCAGCCCATGGCAGCAGGTGTGAATACGGAGTATGGGGAATGAATGAGATCTCCCCGTGCCTGGTACCTGGGATGGGATGGGGGCATCCCAACAGGCTCCTACCCAAGCCTCAAGGACAAAGAGCTCAGTGGGGCTCAAGCCTGCAGTCTCCCATCTCCCGCCAGCCCCAGGCGCCTGCCTGCAGTGAGTCTGTGCCTTTGCCCCACGTGGACCACGCTGTTGATGTAAAGTAGAAATCGGACTTCTACTGCAGCAGCCTGGTGGCTGGGAACATGGTGACGCGAGAGCAGGAGGGGACCAGGGAGACTGTGGGGAGCTGGCTGCTCAAAGTCCCAAGTGGGCTGACGGTGGTGGTGAGCTTGGCGCTTGTCCTGTCTTGCAGAGGACCCTCACCCATCCCAGGCTTTGCCCAACAGGGTGGGGGAACCCTACAGGGAAGCGTGGAGACTGAGGCCAGGGGCTTCAAACACAGCCATCCCAGCGGGAAGGCAGCTGTCCCCTCTGACCATGCTGCTCCTAGGATGGCCCGGCCGTGCCCCGCTCTGCAGGGGGACAGGGACAATCAGCTTGCATTGTCCTTTTATATTTCTTAGCACAGCACTAAGATGGATCTGTGTAATGGAGGAGGAGATGGAGCTAAGAGAAACTTCCAAAGTCCTCCAGGCGGTGGTGGCAGCTGCCTGTTTTGCTCTAGGTGGGGGTGGGGAGGGTGGGGTAGGTGGGGGGAGAGGGGGCTAGGGGGGTGGGGGGTGGAGGGGGTGGGGGTGGAGAACAGGGCTGCTCCGCCTCACTTCACACCAGGTCTCCTAGTCTCAGCTCACGTTGTCCATCTTGATGAAACTGTGTAGATTTCACACAATTACAGGAGAAAGGGGACCCATGACGTATGCTTCATTATTTACATAACTGGTTTCATGTATTTTTGATGGTGCTATTATGTTTTCAACAGTTTTCAAAACTCGTTTGCTCTGAAGTTGAGTAAGGGCTTTGCAGAACAAGGGTGCCCTCCACCCATCCTTACAACAGCTACATTGAGATCCTTTAATTCACTTACTTTTTTTTTAACTTTTCATTTTGAATTCATTTCAGACTTAAGACAAAAGCTGCAAAAATACTACCAAAATTCCCCTCACCCAGATTCCCCCGAATGTTAACATCTTATGTAACCTAGAGGACAAGGTGCAGGGCTATGAGCACTGATCCATACGATTGTCTAGTCTGCAGACTTAATTCAGATTGTTGCCAGTTTTTCCACTACACCTTTTCTCAGGTCCAGGACCCATTCCAGGATTGCATGTTGCATACAATTGTCCTATCTCCTTAGTCTTTTTTCATCTGAAACAGTTCTTTGGTTTTAATTTTTCTCTCATGATCTTTTCACCTTAGAAAAGTGCTGGCCAGTTATCTTCTAGTTCTTAATCTTCTAGAATGTTCTAAATTTGGGTTTAGGTGGTGTTTCATTGTGTGTGTGTGTGTTTTTTTTAATTGCTTTGACTTCAAAAACGTTTACAAATACACGTACTTTCCAAATCACCTCGACCTGGTTTGGGGTTAGGTGACTTACTTTTTCTCCCTTTATTTTTAAACGTCATGATCCCTTAGTGGCCATCATCCCATTCCTTGTCATAAGTTCAGGCTTCATTGTGAGTTAAACCCGGGCTAGGTGTTTTTGGCAAGAGCACCACAGAAGTAAGACTGTGCCTTTCTCAGAGCATCATGTCCGGAGGCACAGGACCTCTCTCTGTTCTGGTACCGGCGATGTTAACTTTGTTCTCATGTTTACGGTGGGCACCGCCAGATTTCTGCATTGTAAAGTTCCTGCTTTTACTTTTGCAAAAAGTATTTGGCAGGGAGATGTTTTATAAACATCCCGTTTCTGATCATGTTTTGCTCACTGACTTTTGGGCTTCATTAATTGTTCTGCCTGAAAGCAATTATTCCTGGGGAGTTTAATTCACGTGTAAATGCAAAGACAATTCAATTATCCAGCAGAAATAGACGAACCTCCTAGGCGCGTGGGCAAGATTGGAGCACTTCTTGCACCTCTAACTCTGTTTGCTTGGTTGTCTTCCTAGTTTTGTCTCACTTAGGACAGCTTAGTCAGTGGTTAAGTCCATAAAATTTTAAATGTCACATCTACTCCACTGTGTTTACTTCTAGGTGTAACAATATTTCAACGGATGCTTCATCCCTTCAGCTGATTTATTCTCGTCCCCCAGGGCACACAGTCCTTTTGGAGCTCAGAATTACCTTCTAAATTTGATCTGAACTTAAGCTCCATCTCCCTCTATTTAGACTGAAGATATGTGGCGTTACCCCGCGTGCCCCAGTGATTCTAATTTCTACTCAGGACCAGCCTTTTCTCGGTGAGTGACTCAGCATTTTACAATCTGACATTTTTAAGAGAACCACTTTGCTATTAAACTGAAGCCATATATTAAAGTTAAACCCTGAAGCAAGCCTGGGTCCAACAAAGGTTAGACAAAGATAAGACAATTTGTCACACCTACCGGCCTGTGAAGTGCACGGCAGAGATGAAATGAGATTCTGGAACCTGAGCAGGCCGGGGCCTTTGACTACAAATTCTAATGCAGAGACACCCTTCTCAGAGGTGGCTGCAGCCCTGGCTTCTGTCAGACCCTCTCTTGGTTGTGTTTACGAACTAGGTGGAGGGATTCTGTTCTCCAGACCTGAGGCTTGAGTAAGGACAATGTGTTTAAAGGAGGCTTAAAAGATGGACCTCCAAATGGGGAAAGTTGTAAATTCAGAGTGAGCTGTTATTGATTTTTGTTTTGTACCAAAGAAGAATTGAAGAAATGGAAAGAAAGCCTTCCTGTATGCGTCTCTCACAGGCGCTGTCAGCCTCATGTTTGTATTTCTCTCATCATTTATTTCAGGCTGCACAGAAGTGCCAAGACCTTCTCTGCCCACAGGAGCACCGGCCAGAAGGGTGGCTGAATGAGCAGCCTGGCTATTTTGGTGTAGCCTTTTTCTTTCTGTGACCTACCTACACCATAGCAGTGACCCAAGGCTTTCCTTTTATTTAGCCTTGCTCTATCTTGCTCTTCCTGAGTGTGGGAGGGGAGAAGGTGGTAGCTCGATGGATCAAATCTTCGCTCTGCAACTTATTAGCTGTGTGACCTTAGGTAAATTGTTTAACATCTCTGTGCTTCATCTGCATTAAAGGGGCTACAATAACCCCTACTTCATTGTCCCTAAAACTGAGTTCCCCTGCTGAGTGTATGATTACCGTCTCTACCCAAGACTGTATCCATTTCTTGTCCTGTGCCCATTCCCCTCAGGATTCGTTGTAGGAAAATGGGGCATAAGAGGATGGTCTTGTACCAAGTCTCAGGTGAGTCCCTGGGATGCGCCTGCCAAGTGAGGGTCCTTGGCTTTGCCCAGGAAAGAATTCAAGAGAGAGCCACGGTAAAGTGAAAGCAAATTTATTTAGAGAGATACAGGTTCCATAGACAGCATACGGTCTGTCTCAGAAGGCAGAGTGGCCCCTGGGGGGCGGGAGTGGTTAGTTTTCATGGGATGGGCAATTTCGTACACTCGCAAGTGGGAGGATTGTTCCAACTGTTTTGGGGAAGGGGTGGGGATTTCCAGGAACTGGGTGACTGCCCACTTTTTGGCCTTTTATGGTCAGCCTGGGAACTGTGGGTGTGTCACTTGGCATGCTAACGTATTAACAGTGAGCAGATAATGATGCTCAAGGTGTACTGGAATTTGAATCTTCCACCATCTTGGGCCTAAATGGTTCTAAGCAGTTGATGTCGTACCCTCAATGGCTATGTCATTCTATTAATGGTTGTGCCCTACCCCCTTCCCTCCTGTCTCAGATTCTTGTCCAAGAAAAGAGGGAACTGAAACCTAGCAGGGCCCTGTGGGGCCTTTCTGGGCACAAGCCCCTCCAGGCCCCCTCTTTCTCATTTGGCCTTCCCCTGACTTCCAAAGAGCAGACTCAAGCAGTTAATGATTAGCACAATAGAGTCACAGGGCTCCTATTTCCTTCTGAAGGAATACACATATCTAACATGTTGTTTTGCAGAAACTAAGATCCCCACCTGGTGGAGGATGGTGACTACAAGCTGACCACAGCACACAGACCCCAGACTGGTTGGAACCAGAAGGTTGATGATTAAGATTCCCAGAACACCACCCTGTTACCTCATCATCGACCAATCAGAAGAATGTCCACAAGCTGATCATACCCTTTGCAACCCTCACCCCTAATGTTGCCTTTAAAGACCCTTCCCTGAATTCCATCTGGGAGTTGGGTCATTTGAGCACTAGCCACCCATTCTCCTTGCTTGGTGCCCTGCAATAAATGCTGTACTTTCCTTCTCCACAACCAGGTAAAATGGCTTTGCTGCAGGTTAGGTGAATGGAACTGAGTTCAGTTCAGTAACAAAAGGGGGAGGGAAAGGCAGCTCTTTCTGTCCCTGTCCCTTTTCAATCTCCTCCCATCTTAATCCTGAGACTTTGGGGCCTCTAGTTTTCCCTCTGTGGCCTCAGCACCCCTGGAGATTCTACTCCATCTCTCCCGGCCCACTGCAAACTTGTTTGTCCCTTGCCAAGCTGTCTTAAAGGTGACACCACCCATAGCCCTCAGGGCCCTCTCTTCCACAGGCTTGCCATAGCCCTACACTCTGACCTAAAATCTCCACCATTCATTCATTCATTCTTTCATCCTTCAATCATTTATTGATGCTTATTCTAAGCCAGGCTAGGGGTTGTGCTAAGTACTGGATATATAAAAATAAACTAAACACAGTTCTTATCCTCAGGGAGCTCCTGGCTTAGTGGGGAGGCAAGTTTTTAAGTAGATAATCAATGCAATAATAATACAGCATTTACTACATGCCACATATCCCTCTAAATAATTTGCATGCTCTACTCATTTAACCCTCACAACAACCCCATGAAGTAAGGGTTGTTATAGCCCCTTAATTGCATATGAAGCACAGAGATGTTAAATAATTTACCTAAGGTCACACAGCTAGTAAGTTGCAGAGCGAGGATTTGAACCCAGATGAGCTAGCTCCAGAGGTAGGGCTTGTGACCAGTATATTGTACTGCCTCTCACTGAGTCAAGTATGGTAGCGGGTATCTGGAGTGTTACAGGCATGCATAGCAGAGCCCAGTGGCGGTAGTGGAGGAGCAGGGGCAGCTGGGAGAGGGCTTGGTTTGGTGATGAGTAGGAGGTAGCTCGGTGGTGATCTGGGCAGCCTGAGCTTCCTTCCCTCCCTCCCTTTTCTCTGCCATCAGTTTTTACTGAGCATGTACTTTGTGCTCGGCCCTGGGGATACAAGGATGGGCTTAATCTAGCCGGGGAGATGCTGGCATACACCTGCTGGCACACAGTGTGGTCAGTGCTCTCCCAATATCATGGACACGAGGCTGGGGGCAGAAGCAGTGCTGGAAGACTTCATGGAGGAGATGCACTCTTGTGTGGGCAGGAGGAGAAGGGTGGACCTAGCGCATGACACTTAGGTACAAGTGCCTGATCAAAGCAACTCTGTCTCTGGGCTTCTGCTGTTCAAGGTGGACGAGAGGACTAGAAACCAGTCATTACTTGGGGAGACCCTCCCCTCCCTACAGTCTTCTAGGGGCCCCAGAACTGATGTGAGTTTCTCTTATGGTGTCCCTCTGCAGGCATCTGAGGCTCCTCTCCCAAGCTGGCCTTCCCCATCTGTCTGGCATTGGGTGCCCCCTGACCCAGCCAGTCCCCACATTCCTGTCCATACCAGTCTGGTCTCCCAGATGATGTGCAGCTTTGCGGGTGGCCCTGGTCTCACCACGGCACACTGCGCCTCCCAATGCCAGGGCCTGGTGGCTGCGTTTTCCCTGGGAACACTCAGCCAGCAGCTTGTGAGTCTCAGCTTCACCAACAGGCTGAGTCTGAGCCGAACCCTCCTTTCTCCCCATTTAAACTGAAATCTCAAACCATGTTGACTGCTCCCTGGTGACAGGGGGGCCTAGGTACCTCAGGAACAGTAGCTTAACTCTTAAGAGGGGAAGAAATCTCACATTCCTTGCCAGGGGGTAGAGAAGAAGCACAGTGATCAAGTAATTTCCCCATAACCGTAACGAGGATTCCAGGGGAGCAGATGGCGTGAGCAAAGACACAGTGGGGTCACCGAGTTGGGGTCTGTTGAGAATCCGCACCATGGTGCAGGATGTCCTTGGGGGATCAGGTGGTGAAGGGCCTGGAAGGCCCAGCTAGTAGGACAAATCCAGCTTTCCCCTGAAGCAGAGTAGCGACAGGATCTGGAATTTAGAAAGATCGTGGTGTGCACGCTTGTGAGCACATGTGAGCGCATGTGCACCCTGGGGAGGAAGGCTGCCTGGGACTGGCGCTGTCTTGTTCCCTCCCCCACCAATCATGTGCCTGGCAGGGCGACAGAGCTCACAAGCACACGGCATGATGCTTGTCCCACTTCACCTTGGCCGTTAATCCAAGCAAAGAAAGAGCAGGGTAGGGAGATTATAGTCCATGTCCCAGGGGATGAATCGGTGGCGAAAATCAGTCAGAGTGGTGACAAAAATTAATTTTGTACCCTTGTCCTTGGGAAAGAAAAAAAGAATGGGCCTTGGAAGACTATTCTGCCCAGGCTTCTTAGCATGGGTGAGGGCGAGATTAGACCAAAGGTTTTTCATTTCCCCATGATCCCAGCCAGATCCCGTGTCAAGGACTCAGGAGAGCTTCCTCCCTGAGCCAAGAAGATGCCCCACTCCCTCAAGTCCTCAAATGACTCCAAAGCTAGAGGGACTGCCAACATCTCCGGTGTCGGAAAACCCAGAGCCAGGTAATGAGATGAAAGGGAGAAGTGCCCGGCCTTGACATTAAGTGCAATTTATTTCCATCATCTCAGGTTCCTTCTTGTATGGCACACTCCTTCCCCACCGGCAGATCCAGCCATATTTTAGGATGCAGCTCCAGTGGGTTTCAGGGCTGTCTGAGAAGTGATGGCTCTGCCTGCTGTCACTGCAGAGACACGCCTGTTTCCAAATATACGAAACAGAAAGGTGACCTGCCGATCCAGTGGAAAGCAATAAACCGCACATTCAATTAGGATGACATACATTTAATCACAATTGTCTAATGGTATTTGAGATTTCTTATTTAATCAGTAAAGCGACAACCTAGCAATTAATGTTCCTGGAATTGTGGCCGCCCTTACCAGGGCAGTGTTGGTTTTAAACTAATCTTTCTATTTTATAGCCTCTTTCTATTTCTGGAGTTAATAAAGGTGTTCTAATGAGTTGTATTAAAACATCCATTTCTTCTTTTGTTGCACCCCCAAGTTTATCGTGATTTTTAATCAAAATACTGAGTTAATGGACAGGAAGGAGGTTT